ACCATGCCTCAGCAGCGGCCAGCACCCACGCAACAGCTTGACCGTGGTCTGCCGCGAGGAAAGCAGAAGAGAAACAAACTGAGCAAGGCCGACATCTCGCTGCCTACCAACTTCCAGCATATCTCGCATGTTGGTTGGGACCCACACAAAGGCTTCGACCTGGAGAACGTCGACCCCAATCTGAAACAGTTCTTCAACCGAGCTGGTGTGTCAGACACTCAGCTACAGGACCAGGACACGCGGAAGTTCATCTACGACTTCATCGACAAGCACGGCGGTGTAGAGGCGGCCATCAAGGAGGTGCACCAGCTGGGTGTGCCGGGAGCGGCGCCCGGGCCGCCGCCACCGGTCCCCACTCGGCAGCCGCCGGCGTCCGGCCGGCCAACAGCCCCGCCGGCGCCGCCAGTCCGCTCCACACCGCCCCTGACGCACAGCGGCGCCGCGCCGCCGCCGCCGCCCAGCCGCACCCGGCAGGCGCCGCCGCAGCCGCCGTCCGCCGCCGCCAAGCCGGGCGCCCCAGCGCCGCCGCCCCCGCCGCCAGTACCCAGTTCAGCGCCTCCTCCTCCTCCGCCTCCGCCGCCGCCCCCGCCCGCGGGCGTACCGGCGCCGCCGCCGCCGCCCCCGCCGCCGTCAGCAGCCGCCAAACCGGGCCTGCCCGCGGTCTCTGACAGTCGCAGTCAGCTGCTGGACTCCATCCGGGCGGGCACCACGCTGCGGCCTGTAGCGGCCTCCAATGACACGGGAGGCAGCGGCGGCGGTAGCGGCGGCGGTGGCGGCCGGGATGACCTGATGGCACAGATCCGCGGCGGTGCCACCCTGCGACACGTCACCGACAAACCGGCGCCTGCGCCCGCGGCCTCCGAGGCGCCGCCGCCCGGCCTGGCCGGCGCCCTGGCGCGCGCGCTGGCCGACCGGAAGCGCGTCATCCATTCCAGTGACGAAGACGATGATGACGACGATGAGGAAGACGATGATGACGAGTGGGAGGACTAGAAGAAGCCGGAGGACGCTGGGGATTGGTCGCCGCCGTGCACGCCGCGGTGAGATCTGTCTGAGTCGCCATCGTGCCTTCCCATCCACCGGTGGGGCCGTTCCCAGGGTGATGAAGCCCTGTCTCGGCCACAGTTCAGCGATTGGGGCGGGAGTATCGTGTTCGACCTCTGTAACGATTGCAGTGCCCTGACGTCGGGGTTACAGTCTTATTGCTTTGCAAGATCGTAAGCAGGTTAATCGCGGCGAATCTATATTAAAGCGTTTGCTGAGTGGTGTGATTGAATGAAAAGGAGATGATTTGTTCATTTACCACTGAGGCGAATTTAAGGTGTCAGAGGAATGTATGTTGTAGCACTTTGTTAACGATATATTATATAATGCATATTCCTTGACTAGTCCTGTCTTTGGGGTATTTTCGAAAGACGATGGGCAAGATGGCGAATATTGGCGGTAACATCTATGGTTTGTGAATCATACTTGCGAAATAAATCGTGTTCAGTGATTAAAATTTATATCGTAGTCATATACTCACTCTCGTATTCATCTAGGTAAGAAAAGTTCACTCATACTTCCATATGAATTGTGTCTCACGGTGATCTCTTATTCACAGGAGAGATATTTGTATCACGCCCATATTGCCTTTTCAAGTCGTGGGAACTCGTTAAGTACGTTTAAGGTTTAGGTAATCCCGGTGTGGAATGCTATGCAGTGGCTTGCGAAGCTACCATCCATGGGCCTCAAGATTTTTGGAAGGGCGAGATTCGTCCAGAAAGTTTTATTTTTGCTTGGGCTAGTCACCAATTCCTCCTTACTGATTATCGACAGTGATGAGCGACCCCATATCCTTGGTGTATCGAAGGGCTAGCCGACACTTGACACAGCTATAATTTGTCGTCCAGACCGGAGGATCAGCTCCGGTGTCATGATGGTTGCCTAGCAACTGATGGTGTTACAAATTGGCTAAGAAGTTTTGTCAAAGCTTGAAAAATGTTTAGGATCAACATGAGCTGATTGCACAACTTATATGGCCTTGGATTGCACGACAGACTGGAAGACAAATCAGTAGCGCCGCCCATCCATGTAGGGACATATGCGTATAAAAATAGGCATTTGCGAAAATTTCACAGTAAACATTCCGTTTAGTTTCAGGAACTGAGTACGTGAAGGTTTGAGTTCCAGAAGCATCGCAAAAGGATCAGCAATGGATTACTATTCCAGCACTTCAAGAGGTAGCCGCCACATCGAGCAAAGTCAAGGAGGTGGAACGTACGACATGGACTTCTACGCGACATCGTACTCGCTCGCCCACAATAAGCCGGCCTACAAGCCGAACCCGCCACTCATTCGGAACGGAACTGGCTTCATCCGCTCTCTGGTGCCGACTGGTGACATCGGCGTCATGGCCGGAGCCGAGGTGAAGGCGCTCACCAGTGGTCTGTGCCGGTCGGCACTGCCCGAGCGGCACCCGCCCTGGGTGATGCACGACGGCCGCGAGCCCCTGCCGGCCACCGTCAACGACAGCACCGCGTCTGGGTACGCCAGCAACGCCACGCCCACGCACCAGCTGGTCAAATTTCCCAGGGACTGGAGGCAGGCGGACAGCCGGGCAGAAACGTTCCCCAAGCACCAGCCACTGGCGCGACAGCACCTGGCTAAGAACGAGCACAACGACTACGTTTCCGAGTACCACGCCATCTTCAAGCAGAAGCCCTTCCACGGGGACCTCTCCGGCACTCGCTGTCCGGAGAACCCAGAGATCATCTGCAGCACGGGCTTCACGCACGAGCGCGGCGCCGAGGGCGGCCCGCAGGCGCGTCATTTCGCCACACCGCCCACCGCCTACCAGAGCTACTTCTCCACGGCGCCGCTGGGCCCCGGCGCGCAGCTGCCCTCCACCAACACGGACACCAGGGACGTGGGCACGGGCTACCCCAACCAGCGGCCGGTGACGGTGGCCGGTCAGCTGCGGCCTCCGCAGACCAAACACCAGCAGGACTTCGGCAACCCGGCCGACCGGGAGCCCGGCGCCATCCTGCTGCCCACCAAAATCAACAGCTCCGGCTTCAACTCCAACAACCCCATCAAACAGCTGCAGCTCGACCGGAGGACGTTCTGCACCGACTACACGGAGGCGTTCGCCGACCGCACGCCGCAGGGCGCCGACCGCGAGGGACACACCACGGGCAACATCACGGCGCGCGTACAAACCTTCTACCCGCTGGCCTCGTTCCGACATCGCTATCAGGACCACGGCGACGCCGAGAAGCGGCCCGAACGGCAGGCGTACCCGCAGCGCTCCTGGGCGGCGCGCTCAGGTCCGGGCACTATTGGAGCACAGCGCTCCGACGGCCCGCTCGCTGAGGTCGCTGGGTAGGACGGAGGCCACAGCGCGGCTTCAGGCTCTCTCCGACCGCAAAGAAACGTGCATGAAGTGTCCACGTGTTTAACTCATAGTCCTTCGTTATCCAATCGAGACGGGTCCGCGCAATATTTACGCCACAGTTCAGTTCAGAAAGCCTACTATGCATTTCATCATTACTGGCGAAAGCGCCTGGTAGAGAAAACTCTCTCCGTAGAAAATAATTGCTGCCATATCGCTTCAAATAAATTACGAAATCAGCGCAGTTGATTCAAATATTAATGCATTTGATCATTTATGAAATCAAAAGCATATTTAGTGACGTCATCAATAATAATTTTCATGTGACACCATTTGTCCAGGGAACCCAGTTTCTTTGTCGACATGGCAAGATTGTGTATCTGATTGGCTGAGTTGAACGACGTCATAGGAAATTTATCAATCAACAAATAGCATTTTCATTCCCATAAAATCTGTTTTCGGCTTGCTCAAAGCGTGAGAGAGTTACGTCAGGTTGAGTGCTGTTTTTTTAGAGTAGGTTGAGGTGGGGAGGCTGCAGTCGCTGCAGTCGTGTCAAAATGAGTGAAAGTAAGCTAGTAAAAAAGTTTCAGCTTGCAGGTCTGAGTGAGAAAAAAGCAAAAGAAACATTGAAGAATGAAGCCGTATCAAGTAATCTATCAGTGGTTCTTGATGAGGCTCTGAAGCATGCACCATCTGGTTTGTCGAAAGGGGCTGGAAATTTGCTTTATGGTGTCGCCACAAAAGTGAAGAAGCAAACCTTAGACCATTTACCACTGCTGGCAGAATATGTAGCAACAGAAAAGATAGATTCAGATGCACGGTTAACTGCCGCCTTGGAGTACCTGCTTCATGCTCCTGGTAAGCCAGTAGATCGTAAAAAATTTGAAGCAGCATGTGGTGTTGGAGTAGTTGTTACACCACAACAGATAGCAGCTGCTGTGCAGAAACTGCTGTCAGAAAATAAGGCAGAAATGTTGGAAAAGCGATACCAGTTCAATGTTGGAATGCTGCTTGCAGCTATGAGGAAAGAGCTGCCATGGGCAGATGGCAAGCTTGTGAAAGCTGAGATGGATGCTCAGGTGTTTTCACTCTTGGGACCAAAGACAGATGCTGACAATGCTCCTGTCCAAAAGAAGAAGCCAAAGAAGGAGAAGACTGAAATATCAACCAAAGCAGCTGACGCTAGTGGTGACACTGAGCCTTCAGATGGTGCTGCGACAATCACTGACTTGATGAAGAAGGTCAGTTTTCACAAACCAGGTGAAAACTACAAGACAGATGGATATGTTATCACAGATAACACAATGAAGCACATGGAGAATCACCTGAAACAAACAAAGGGTCAGGTGAGGACCCGATTCCCACCAGAACCCAATGGCATCCTGCATATTGGGCATGCAAAGGCCATCAACATCAACTTTGGCTATGCAGCTGCTCATAATGGAATCTGCTTCCTGCGCTATGACGATACCAATCCAGAAAAGGAAGAGGAGAAGTTCTTTGTGGGGATTTTGGACATGGTGAAGTGGCTCGGATACACCCCCTATGACATCACCCACTCCTCCGACTACTTTGACCAGCTCTATGAGTGGGCCTGTGAGCTGATCAACAAAGGCCTCGCCTATGTCTGCCATCAGAAAGCCGAGGAGGTGAAAGGGATCAACGCACCACCATCTCCTTGGCGCGACCGTCCTGCTGCTGAGAGCCTTCAGCTGTTTCATGACATGAAGAATGGCAAGATCGACGAAGGTGCTGCCACACTGCGCCTGAAAGTCACCCTGGAGGAGGGCAAACAGGACCCTGTGGCATACCGGATCAAATTCGTGCCGCACCACCGCACAGGGGACCGGTGGTGCGTATACCCGACCTACGACTACACGCACTGTCTGTGCGACTCGCTGGAGAACATCACCCACTCGCTGTGCACCAAGGAGTTCCAGGCGCGCCGCTCCTCCTACTACTGGCTGTGCAACGCCGTGGACATATACTGCCCCGTCCAGTGGGAGTACGGCCGGCTCAACATGAGCTACGCCGTCGTCTCCAAGCGCAAGATCGCCAAGCTGATCACGGAGGGCCTGGTGGCCGACTGGGACGACCCGCGGCTCTTCACGCTGACGGCGCTGCGCCGGCGCGGTTTCCCGCCGCAGGCCATCAACAACTTCTGCGCCAAGCTCGGCCTCACCGGCGCCCAGATCGTCATCGACCCCGAGATGCTAGAGTCGGAGGTGCGTGATGTGCTGAACGTGTCGGCGCCGCGCGTGATGGCCGTCCTGGAGCCGCTCAAGGTGACCATCACCAACCTCCCTTCCGACGCGCCGGCCCAGCTGGAGGTGCCCGACTTCCCCAGCGAGCCGCAGCGCGGGGCGCACCGGGTTGCGTTCGGCTCGGAGATCTACATCGAGGCGTCCGACTACCGCGCCGTCGAGGAAAAGGGCTACCGCCGGCTGACGCCGGGCCAGTCGGTGGGACTGAGACACGCCGGCTTCGTCATCCAGCTGGAGCGCGAGGTGCGCGACGCGTCGGGCGCGCTGACCGAGCTGCGCGTCACCTGCCAGCCGGTGGCCGCCGCCGCCAAGCCCAAGGCGTTCATCCACTGGGTGGCGAGCCCACGGCCGTGCGAGGTGCGACTCTACGACCGGCTGTTCCGACACAAAAACCCGGAGGACGCCGCCGAGGTGCCCGGCGGTTTTCTGTCCGACGTGAACCCCGACTCGCGCACTGTGGTGACGGCACTCATCGACGGCGGCCTGCGCGCCAAGGTGTACGACAAGTTCCAGTTCGAGCGCGTCGGCTTCTTCTCCGTGGACCCGGACGCCACGGAACAGAAGTTGGTCTTCAACAGGACTGTGACGCTGAAAGAGGACACAGGCAAAAACTAGTGATGCTCATCGGGAGAACATGGATGGGGTGCCGAGATCCGCTTTGTTGAACTTGGCTGTTTTTGGTGATTTACTGCTGTTCTGGTCTAAAATAAAGCTAGAGTATTTAAATAAGTACCTACTGGCATTGTTGTTGGATGGGGACTCCTTGTTGATATGGGTTGTTGCGACCGCCTAGCTTGGCCCGAAATGTTGTAAAACATCCCAGTGGTACCTTGCAACAAGTAGACTGGTTTCATTCAGCGCAACGGAGAGCACCACATCGAAATTATTTCAGAATGCCTGAGCTAGACACTCGCCAAAAGAAGAAAAAACTTTCTAACCAGGCATTATCCTTCAGTGGCTGCAGGACATGACCACTGATGACCACATGGTGGTCGTCACTCGTCACAATCTCAAATAATCGATTATTTACTAAGAATGGTGACTACGGTTTCCTTTTGCATGGCGTTAGTTTGCGCTATCCTATGAATAAGGTGCTAAGCGGAATAGTTTGATACCTTGTCCCGAAAGGGTAAATGATGCTATTGAGCATTGAGCAACAACGTCACGAACACAGAGCCTGCGTGGGTGGGAAGTCTTTTTAAAGACCATATACATACACTACAATATACTGGCTAGTGGCTAGGCCGAGAATTTAAGCTAGGTAGGCTGCGTTTCGTTTGATGAGGTTATTCGTGGCCCTGATTCGTGGGGCTGGGGCCTGATTCTGAAAGTGAAGGGTGAAGCGGGGTGTATTTTGGGTCACCATGAGTAAATTTGGTGATAATTCAGGCGTGTGACAAAAGCCGCGGATAAGACAAAATATTGCGCGGGTGTGTTGTGTTCTGTTCGCTTTTGCGCTTTTGTCCAACTTGAAATAACCTGTGGAAATAACCAACAAAGTTCAAACACACCTTTATCCGTGAAGGGGGTTGAATTATTAGTATGCCCATTAAATCATATTTTCTTAATAAATTAAGAAACGATTCGTGCAGTTAGCTTACCGGAAAGGTGATTCTTTTATAAGAAATTTGTTCACATCCTGAGCTGAATGACCGTGAGCCCGTACAAGCAGCACCAATAGAACACCACGGCGATCATTCACTTTTTGATTACTGAGCGTGTTGTTTGGACGGATCATGCATTTGACATCTATTGACTCTTTTAAATATTTTTGTGTGACTTACTTATCTTGAAACTAGAGAATTGTCCTTGTCCTGGGCATTTGGTTTGCTGTTTTGTAATTTGTTGAACTCTATTTTAAGGTGAGTGGATTGACCATTTCTAACAGAAATATACCACTGAGGCAAATTCAAGAGTTTAGGGGCAAACTAGGGTCTCAGTTAAAAGCAGAAGTTTATTGCGCATTGACTAATGCTGAGGGCTGTCCACGGGCCCTGTGTGCGGTCGAACCACACACAGCTCTAAGCTCCGCCCACTGCGTCCCTACGTCAGCCTTCTGTCACCGCACACAGCAACCAGTCCACTGTGGCCGGTCGGGACGGGCCACAGTGGACCGTCCACCGCATGCAGCCGTGACATCAGAACCGCCTACCTATCCCCCACCAGGGTGAACTTTAATATTATATTTCCATTTCTAAGGACTAGAATTATGCAGACCATGCATGTTACTATGCTGTGCACTGACAGAATATGGAGGTAAATATTTGAGGCAGATGTTCTATTCATTCAATGGCTGGTCTTAAAAATATATTTTGCTAATTGCAAGCATTGTTGCCATGGGAGTGGCAAATGCCCCAAATTAACATATCCCCTGGCCCTGGCCCCTCCCTTAGACCTGGCATCACACCTGAACTAAGCATGGAATTCAGATGGGCCAGATGTGGCCAGATGATTCAAGAAGCCTTCACTTATTTGAGCACCCAAAGTAAAGCACCCAAACTTGATGAGTTTGCTGTTTTTTCAGAAATATATAGAAAACTAAGGTAAAAAAAATGTTTGCCTAGAATATTAAACTTTGCTTTAACTTTCTTAAAATACATATTCCATAAAGTATATGGGGTTGGTAATTATAATAAGGGTATGATAATATGCCCGCTGCCCCCTGGCCCTATGTCATCAAATACCATCTTTCTGAATGATAATGTTAAAGTTCAGAATATTGCATCCTAAATTTGACTATTCACAATCCTACCCACCTTTTTAGCTCAAGGGTGGTTCCAGAGTGAAACACAGCTGTTCATAGTTTCTATTTGAAAACTTATCTGGCTACCTAACGTTATTAGCTTGTTGTTTGTTACACAAGTAAAAATTGTGTGGATCATGATGTCGCACAGCACTTCTTACTAGGAGTTTGTTGTGAACTCTGTCAAATGAAATGAGTAACCATACCATATGACCATAAACTCAAAGTGATACCTACCTACCAGGACATAATGGCTGCAAAGGAGACATTCTGACTCAGGCTTAGGCATTGCTCATAATTCAACAAATCCACTATAATCAGTCATTAATGACCTGTCAAAAATATTGGTGAATGTAGCTTTCTATCTACTTGATGTTTAGTTTCGGTAATTTGAGTTCCACTTTGTTTCAGCCATAACATGGGGCTCCAGTGGCATTGGTCAGCTGTAGCAGTGCTGGTGCTCTTTTCCCTCCGCTCAGGTAAGCTGAATTCTTGGTGAATTTTAGCCCTTATTTTGCAAATATGTCTTCAATGGGATTCATATCGGTTGTCTTTGACTGTATGTTGTATGTTAAAAATCTGCCTATCACTTGTTACAATCACCGTTTCTAAATAAACTCAGTGTTTACTGTTATCCTATGAAGGCAGGCAGTGACTCATTTGACTCCTGTGTGGTCCTGTGTTGCAGCGTCGGCACACGAGTGTTACGTGTGCGTCGGCCAGGCGGGGAACGGCGGCAAGTGCACGGAGACGGTGGCGCTCTGCGAATACGAGGAGCAGAGCTGCATGACCACTGTCAGCTGGGGAAGTGAGTACCGGAGCGGGAACTTGGAGAGATCGTAACGATCGCTACAAATAATCCACTACCCAAATAACGATCGTTATTTGGGTAGTGGATAGGCTATACGTGGTTTTGCTACGTTGTACGTTTTAGGCAGCCGAATTTTTATTGTTTAGTTTTATATAATCGTGGATCTCTTAATGTCAAGATCCACGCCAAGCACATCTAATCTGCTAAGAGCTGAAACCTTCAATGCTCTATTTTCCAGTTTAGCTCAAATGTCAGGCGACATGCGACCCGCGATGCGACTGCGATCGTCATGCGAGTAAGCGTCATGCGACTTTACGTCATGCGACTGAGACTGAGCTCAGTCGACTCATGCGACTGAGCTACGCTTACCAGCGTCGGTCACTGCTACTACACCAAAACGTATTTTTTACAGTACGTTGCAATACCGCCCTTAGTTCAGTGCGACCTGCCCAGTGGCTGGCCTGTGCTCTCTGACACCTTGTGCCCACCTCTCCGCCAGGCACCCCCGGCTGGCGACTCGGAGTGCCCATGATGCTGTTCGTGTCCAAACAGTGCGCCACCGATGACTACTGCGAGGAGATGCGGCTGAAAAACCTGCCACTCTGCACGCGCATCTCGTACGAGGATTGGCGTTGCACGTCGTGCTGCAAGGGCGACCGCTGCAACTACTATATTATCGTAAGTACCGCTGTAGCTGCATTACCAATCGTAAGGGCGACAGCTGCAACTACTATTATCGTAAATGGGACCGCTGCAAGTGCTATATTTCCTGTCGTAAGGGTGACTACTGCAGCTAGTGCTTTACCATGAGGGGGACCGACGGGTGACGGCACATGCAGTGCAGATCGTGTAAACACCTCGTGATCAAGGTGGTGACACCTCGATTGGACCGTGGAAAAGGGTAAAAGCCAAAGGCTAGGCCCATCCCATTTGTTATGTTTTGGGCGCAGTGGGAAAACAAAGGAGGGTAATTGGGGTCCTTGAGAGCTCTCCGTTGAATAGGATGATCTTTTCTTCATAATGCGGGCAGAAATTTGAATTTCGATGAAAAGTGTGAGGGATGGTGTACGTAAGTGCGCGCTTTACTGCCGCGTGCCTCCGTATTTCCTCCAGTCAGCGGCGAAAATGTAGCAGAGCGTGGTTTCGATCCACGGACCTCTGGGTTATGGGCCCAGCACGCTTCCACTGCGCCACTCTGCTTCTGGCGGAGGGATGGCTCTTTTAGTGATGTACCTCAAATGACCGTAGGATCCTGTATCCCATTCTCTTGTGACTCGGCCATGCGACTCGGCCACGATGGCATGACACTTTGTCTGCACTCCCGATGCACCCGAGCGCTGACGGTGACCCTTCTTCGGTCTGTTCCAGGACGGCGCCTCGCCGCACCGCGCGTTCCCACTGCTGACTGGCGCCGCCCTGCTGCTGCTGGCGCTCGCACACCTCCGGCGTCTGTGAGCATCTGCTGGCGCATCTCCGGCGCCTGGGAGCATCAGCCGACCCTCCCGCTTCTGCCCCACGAGGACCTCGCCCCTCATCGGCGGTCACCCGGCCCTGTCCGTGGCGGTCGGACGAGGATTTTCCGGGGTGTCACGAAAGTCAACGGTATCTACTCGTATGAAATTGAAATGTGAGCATCACGGTACACACCGGTCCACAGCTCACCCTCAGTCGTTTCACCTGATCGGAGAGGCCCCGTTCTGTCATTCCATGGGCTGGTTGGCGTTGTATTGTAAGAAGTGTCGGCGATTTTTTATACGAAGAGACCGCCTACCTGGCTTTTGAATCTCCTAATCCGTCCATTATATTGTGATCGCAAGATCTGTCAATTTTATGAAGTCGGGGTTTTTACCTGCCATTCCACTGTGAGAAAAATCATGCATCTATTTCGAAAACATGTCAAAGTAGATGCATAACCATCGATGTGTGGGTGGATAATGTATGGGTACATTTGTGCGTTGAAGTGCTTGATGAGGACGTCTGTGTCGGGTTAGGATGTCATAAGCATAACGATTCATGTAGGCTATCGACTTTTAGAATAGACAGTGTTGATGCATTTGTAGCGGATAGTTAGGGTCTGCATTCGACGTATTTCTATAGAGTAAAGCTTGATCACCCTTGGAAAATAACAATTTCTGTCGCTTCGCACATCAGCGTATATTTACTGTGGCGTTTTATTGATAAGTGGTGTATTAGTGTTGTAACTTTTTATCCTGTTTCGGTCTAGCGTAATTTTCGATGGATCTGATTAAGTCGGCACCGTATCCTTTCTTTTGCTGATCGGTCTAACTAGGCGGTTTATTAGTGTGTGATAATGTTTGTTGTTGCTGAAGCGACTGGTTGAAATCTTATTTCAAAGGACACTACTATAGGACAGTGAAAGGTCATATCATACCATGTTTGCGTTACATGCAACGTAGAATATCCTGTTTGATATCCTGATTCGCGCGTCGCACATCTATCATGGTGTTTCTTCAAAGCAGTCATCCGTCCCCGAAGCGTTTTCAGAGGCTTATTTTTGTACCTGCCTAGTGCCTACACCAGCGTTTGTACGACGTTGTAGAGCAGATGGGGCCTTGGGCCGGCTTGTATATCAATATACCGTAAATGACTACTGGATATGTGTTGACAGGGTGGTGACTGGGCGACAAGTCGCTGTGGTGGAAGTGTGACACCTGTGACTGATACCGCTCGACCTGCATTCATCTCGTATCGCTTCGTTTCTCAACTGACGAGTAATTACCGATGTTTAATCAAAGTTGATTAAACAGTTCTGTTTTGCGCGACGAAAAAGATATGTCATCCCCCCCCCCCCCCGCCTACCTGGCGTGGTTCGCAGCGCGGTTAATAACGTGAATAGTGTCTAATGGGGTGAATCGTGTGCTACAAGACAGCCCAGGCACAGTTCTTGCCATCGGTCGACTCTCCGATCCCAAGGGTCCAAAATACCCTCCAACTCACCCACTGGGGTGCCAGTATACGCTGTGCTCGACTGGGTTACTCGTATCAAATCCATCGGGCCACTTATTCAGCCAGGCTTTATCCGGCGACGCGCGTAAGGTATTTCTATCCTGACAAACGCCAGATCAACAAGCAAATACAGTTCATATTTCACAATTCACACGACCCGCCCCACTACCCCGCCCGAACCGCTACTTGGGCGGTTTGATCAGGTTATCCTTCTCCATCTCCAGCCGGATGAAATAGGGTAGCCGCTTGCCGTGCCGCTTCGTGGCCATCGGCAGTGTGGAGCTCTTCTCTATGATTTCGTCCATGTACTGGCGGGGATCGAAGCGCCGTGCGTCCGCGATCATGGCCATCTGCTCGGCTTGGAACGCCTTCTCGCGTCGGATGGACCTGCGCGAGACACCGGTGTCAGTGTCAGTGAGGGGATCGGCTGGGGGAGGGCGCATGGCGGTGAGTGATACCACGGCAGCATGCATCAATCGACGATGGTGGTGTGTGGTGGGGTGGAGCGGAAACAAGTGACAATGGCAGAATCTGGGGCTGGCAGCGTGAATGCCAATACTAGTCTCGGACAGTGGCACCTGACTATCCTGGGGCTCCACAAAGTAAAACCATAAATCAGGAGACGTCATCACTCACCTTCGCAGTTTCACTTTGGCCCAGACGTAGCGCATCCTTTTCCTCAGCTTCTTCAGCTTGTGTTTCCGCATCTTGCGCCTGCGGATGACCACGAGTCGTGCCGCCTGCCTGCGGCCGCGGTCGCCGCTGGGCGCCGGCGGCTGCACGGGCTCGGGCAGGGGCGGCGGCGGCAGCGGCCGCACGGAGGGCGCCAGCGGCGGCAGACGGAGCGCCAGCGGCGCCACAGGCGGGGTCAGCGGCGCGCGCAGCGGCAGCAGCCGGCAGAGCGCGCTCACCGCGGGCGGCGGCGGCGGCGGGAGCCGCTGGGTAGCGCCGACCGTAGCCAGACTGCGGACCGCGCCATCTGCGCCACAGAGCGACAGTCACACAATAATGATCACATTTTTTGATCCCACAATGATCCCACGGGCCACAATTAACACAATAATGATCCCACAAGTCACAACAATGATTACCATTTTTTTCACTGAAATCCTAGCTGTCCATTGAAGCTCATAACTTGTGTTTTATAATACAACACTTTAGGTCACTACATTCTTCTAAAACGATGGGGGTGGCCTCTTGACTACTCTGGAGGCATCTGCAACCACTACCCAGTGGGAACTTCCTAGCTGGCAAGAGTGCAGCAGCCAATGTTTTGCTAGAATAACAAATAGTTATAAAGAAAGGAGTGTCCTCTTATGGACACTCCTATGGATTTTACACTGATGTGTCCTTTTATGCATCATTGCTAGCCAGTTGATATGTAGCCTAGGATTAGCCTGATTGTGAAATGAGCAACTGTGAAATAAGCATGCCTTAATGGAGATGGGCTCAAAATGACCTTGCACTTGGCACATCCTAAAACCTGAATAAACAAACAAAAGTGGGTATTAGTAGAGCAGACATCACACAAAGGTTTTCCAACTAAGGAGAGGCGCTATGCTTGGAGGTACTTCTTTCTAACAAAACCTAAACAAACCTAAACTAACCTGACCTAACCTAACCTACAACCTACAACCTACAAACCTACAACCCTACCCTACAAGTTACAACCTACAAACCTACAGCGCCTCTCCTTGGTTGGAAATCTTCGTGTGACGTCTGCTCTACTAATGCCCAAAAGGGAGCACGAAGAAATGAAAACTATATACTATTTTAGTCTTGAATAAAAAGACAGGTCCTTACTCACTTTGAGAGGTGGGAGTTCTGAGCCAAACTTGAGTAAGAGCTCTGTTAAGTGCAGACAACATTGTTGCAGGAACCTGAAAAATCTGCAAGTGTTAAAATGGTGACAAGACCAGACATTGTCTAAAGTGCAACTCATGTTCAATGACTTGGCCAAATAATATTCAACATATACAATGAAATATTTTCTGTAGAATGCATTAGAAGCTTGAGCTAAAACTCAGAAAATTAGATTATTTAGATTATTTAGCAACGTAGCTTAGATTTCGAAGTAAGCATTTAGTCCCACCCGTGGAGTGCGGTAGTGGCCGGTGGTGACGGTAAATATTTTACAGGTGCTTTAAAACTTAGTTGCGCCATGAATAACTATCAGATATGAAATCAGGAGGCCAAAATACATCGTGTGGTATGTTTGTTATAATCACTTTGGCGATCGGACCTTATGTATATAAATACCGAGGGGACTAGGGAGGATACCACAATAGGCAGGTACAAGGCATAAGGTATAAGGTATACCCAGGTATACCCTTCTGGGGCTATCTGTAAGAATCTTGGGGGCTACCACATAAATAAAATCGATCAAATAACGTTTTATACACCTTCAAATAAAGTATGATTGTACTATGATTGATTCATTACTGGCTATGACTGGCTAGATTCACAATTGTAGTACGTCGTCCATAAATGTCTCGAGCCCCAAATCTCAAAATAAAGTAAGTAACTTTTTTCACCTATTTCAATGGATATATATTTAAAAAATTTAAGTGATTTCTGTCTGTTTTCGTAATTATCACAGAAAAATTAAAGTAATTTTAACAAATAAATGTACCATTCAAAATAGTTTCATCAGTTAAACCAAATCATCGTATAGGTGGCGCAGCTATCTTTTATCAACTGCTGCAAGTTGTTGACGACCGTTGGTGACAAAAGTTGGTGACATCTTTTCGTTTTTGATCGAAGGCCGTCGTCTTTGAATATTATTTGTTGGCTTAAAGGTCCAGTGTGATTTAATTTTGGATTCATAACTGGGCACACAGCGGTAAGTTCAAGTCTGCTTCTTGAGAAATGCGTAGGAAACGTTTGGCGGACATGAATAATGCCAAAAATGAAATTTTGCTGGCAATAGGCAAGCCTCTATTTTCTTTCATTTGTGTAATTGTCAACACCCTTACAACTGAAGTTTGTTGCCATTAGTGGGGGTTAAAGGGACCCTCCCACCTTAACATTAGATTTGAGTTGAGATAGCCAAAATGGGGTCCCTGGCTCACAATTACCGGTTTCGGCACTCACAACATCGAGAAATGCCTGAAATCGGAAATATTGAATTTCAAAATTGCAGCATTTTGATTCAGAGGGGCTAATGATGAGGAATACCCCTCTGAATGTGTGACGTCAGCGCAGATATCTAACGATTTTTAAATGTTTGACTAAAACGTTTTGTAGCACGCGGTGGTATATGCTATTTGCGCGCAACATCTGCCGCAAACGCCGCACTTCTAAAATAAAGTCGCTAGAAACAGCGGAGATCCCAAAAAAGTAAACAAAAGTAAAAGTCTAATATCTTGAAAACCGGTGAATATTTTTCGGTGAAATTTGGTAGATATTCGTTTTCGCTCTTTCTGAACCGAGCGACATCACTTTCATGCCATTTCATATACTTTTTTGAAGGTGGGAGGGTCCCTTTAAATGTGCGCCACCAGTAGTATAGGCTGCACGCTCTAAGTCCTGGAGCAATGTTTCACGGTCACTGACTGCCATCGCAATCGTGCCGACGACTCATAATGGGCAAATCTGGAGCATGATTGCCTCAATGTTGAGTGATATAATCAATTATAAAGTAGATGTCCTAATGTTTTCAATGGCATCAAAGTTTTCTTCTACCCTGATGACAACTTGATATTGCTGCAATCATGAGCCAAAATTGCCCATGATTAAGCCCATTTTTAAGAGCCTCGCTCTTACCTTGCCACACATACTCGATGGAATCGGGACCACCAGGCCTAGTGGCCTCATTACTGTTACCCGATAACCGATAAGCCATTATCAGCAGGGAGAGATTTGGTCAACTGGGTAAATGTCAAGATAAAGTCCTAACCAGATTTCATTGATAATTTTTTCACATTTTTACATTATTTGACATCTTGAATGCAAAACTGATACTCATATGTGATATGTCTCGCTAATAAAAGAAAAAAACATAATAAACCTGAACTAACCTTACCTACTTACCTAGAAGGGGTAAGTAAGAAAGATATGCTGCTACACGTACGCACGTACATCCGTTAGCACATTTGCTTTACTCTTAGGTGAAGGTATGTATAGTACCTACGCTCAAGATTAGTAAATTATATAAAAATTACCTATGACCTAATAATATCAAAATATGAAATATAAAAGGATTTCGACAATTGTTGTAGTCAAACATGACTGATGTGCCGTTTAACCTGCGCACGTACTGAGGTCTGCGCCAACTTAAAGGGTGTCCTAAAAATAATGTCACACCTTTCCAGCATCAATTTCATGAAAATAACAAACTTGAGAGGCGCACTTTTCTTACATATGCAACCCACATTCTCCCTGGTGCGGGCAAGCATACGGTCCGGGACATCAGACATCAACATGTCTAGCTTCTTTGGACTGATCTTAGACCAGACAGATTGAACGTTCCTGGTCAGCGTGCGTTCAGGTTATCCTGGCGCCGTTTTGCTCACCTCTTACAGGACGATCACTCAAAGATTTTCTATCAGCGACAGGTCGGGGCTATTCGCCGGCCATTGGTCCTTCTCCCAGAATGCTGGGAAGTTCATCTGTACCAGTCCTTCGTCGTTCTAGCTCGATGAGCCGGGGCGCCGACTTGTTGAAAGATGGCCCTGGACATGTTCAGCGGAAGTTTCGGCTGGAAACGTGGCTTGTTGGGCTTCAGCTGTAGAGACATCCTCCGGTACCGATGGATTGTCAATTTGAAGACTGGATGAGTGTTGGCAATCAGCCTCCTTGTCAGTTTCCTTGTGGATAAGCCCGTCTTTAGCTCCGCACTCCGCGATGACGATCTGCGCTATACCCGGCTGGCGGAAGTCTTCCTGCCGCGACCTAGCTTGTTCCCAGGCGTCTATCCGCTTCTGTCGCGTGATAACCAGCGCCAAATCGTGCGACAACTCGTGCCCAGTACCTCGGCGACCTGGCCGTGGGTCATGCCACCGGCAACCATGCCGACTACCCCGTTGCGGGACGATTTGCTCTGCAGTTTCGCCATCCTGGACACCTGGTCCGCGCGCGCTGGGTACTGCCCCGGAAATGACCTCCGTACACCCCTTGACCGATCAGGGTCACAAAAATTCGAAGGTCACGTGACTAGAATGTAGCCAATATAGTCTGGGAGCCAGTACCGGTGAAATTATATTGATATTGCGCAGTAGAAGGCAAAATAAAGGTTGTGGGAGGGTGTGACATTAATTTTGGAACACCTTGTAGAACCTATCGGTGGTGCTAGATATGGAGATAGTTTTTCTCGAACAACTTTCGAATTAGTCAAGATAGGAACAAACTAAGGGCATCATCGTGATCCTCTCGTTAATCCGCATCAAATGATATATATGTTGACCTCGAAAGGTCGAGGTCAAAGGTTGACCTCGAGGTTATCATATATATCATTCGATGCGCCTTGACGAGCTGAACACAATAAGACCACCCGCGCGGCTGTATCTTGTTCCTGTACGGAGTTATTGGCAAAAAGACCTTTGGTGCCCTTGATGACGTCACATGACCTTACAGCTGCCTAACAGCAAAACAGACCTCAATGTAGTAAAGGTTGATCGTATATGAAGTCATGTATGGTATATGGGGCCATTCCAACCCGTTTTAGTTGTAAAAACAGGGAGTTAATTTTCCCACCACTGACTTATAATGGGGAGGTCGAGAAGTTGACCTGACCTTAGGTCATCGTTATCAGAATTCCGAGATATACAAATTGTAGCTACTAATGACCTAATAACATCCTGCGACTTTCAAAGGCCTCCGACATCTACTGTAGCTCTGGCACGGTGACAAAGTTGCAAAAAAGTGACTTGAGGTTGGGTCATTCAAAGTGACCTGGTGACCTGACCTTAAAAGTTAGGAGGTTCAAACTTGCACACCATGTGTAAACTTGATGAGAGAATAGTCGTACCAAATTTCGCGGCGCTACGCGCCGCGGTTTTCTCGCTATTCACGAAAAACCTCCGGGGGGGGGCGTATAACCGCCCCCCCCCCCGTCGGTGCGCGGGTTAATAACCGAGACAAAGAAGGTAAATAAAAACACTGGGTACCTATTTACAAACTCTACGCCAGTTACGTCAGAGTTACACATTTTATGCCCGTGCTTACACAGCATTGGTATGCTATATACGCTTGTGCTCACACAGCATACGTGCATGCTGTACTGCCACATAGGGAGGGCTCAGGAGACAGATGACGTCACGGTGTGTCAAGGTTTTGTCGATTTTTATGACTTTGCTGTGCAGTAGGGTGGCCATTTTTTTGCAAAGTACACGGAATCACCTCTCCTAGCCTCGATTCTGATGCATTTTTTCATGCTGATTCCGAATCCGTCGAGAAAAATGAAAAATTCGTAAAAATTTGACCCCTGAACGTCCTTGAAGATTTTGGATAAAGTGAAAATATCGACGTCTCACTGTCTAATCGAAAGTTGCGTTGTGTTTAGACTACACAGTTTATATGAACGTGAAATGTGGTCTGTTGGCGCCACAATGCCGCTAAAACCAGCAATATTATTCATTTGGTTTAGCAACAGCGTTCAATAATATCCGCACCCTTTGGGGCAATCTGCCTCTGATGGCGAGTATCGAACTAATAGTGATACACGTCTGCCTGTAGGTGGCAGCACTGTTCCCCAACCTTCGATTCTTTGATAGGTCATTGTGATATCATTAACACGTTTTATCATCATGTTTTCCTTGCCAAAAGATACAATAACCGTTAATCTGATTGTCTGAAAGAAATTTCAAGCATCAGTGTGTCATTTTCCTTTCCTAAACAATGTTTAAAATGAGGTAAAATAAGGTAAAAGCAAACAATCTGGATGAAACGGTAATAGCCCATGGTAAACACGATTACACAAGGAATCGTGTAGGGGAGAGTGGGGCAAAGCGGCCACCCGGGGCAAAGCGGCCATCCATCGTTTTAGCCCTCCACAGCTGGGCCCAGTTTCACCAAGCTCTGTTTGGGGTAGTTTCGGCGAAACTACCCCAAACCAGTTTCACCAAATGGGGTAGGTTCTGATTGGCCACTTCCAAACTACCCCATGGGGCAGTTCTTATTTTACCCCAAATTTGCCATGCAAACAGATGCTCACGGTCCGTGAGCATCTGAACAAGCCAATCAATCAGCTGTTTGCCGGCAATTCTACCCCAAATATCCGACCAAAATTACGGCTGACATTCGTGGGGTAATCTGTGAATATGATACGAATTGTGAGCAAGAATTGACAGTAAAATAGTAATAAGAACATATTTTATTGAAGTCCAATCACCTGTCATGTTTGAATATGCATTATTCATAGCATAGGTACTTCAAGTTTCATCCAAATATTTTACTGCATGTAGCCTGCACCACCTATGCTTGTGATCTGCATTGCAACACCCAAAAGAAGCATTATAGATGTTAAGCAAAAGAAGCCCATAGCTGAATGCCAGGATTTTTACTTTTTTAACTATTAACCCGCGCCCAGATGGGGTCTGCCGAGCAACGCGGTCTGATGGGGGGGGGGGGCATTTTGGCCCCCCCCCCCTCAGATCTCGAGAACCACGCAACATAGCGACAAGCGGTAAACGGTGTTGGATAGCCCCAACAGGGAACTACCTTGTGACCCAATTTCATTGACCTCGGTCAAACCGATGACGTCACAGGTCAGGTCAAAGGTCGAATTTTCACCGTTTACAGGCATTTCAAGAAATGCGTTGTAAAATCGTGTAAAATGCATTTCATTGAAAATCATCGAAGGGGAAATGTTCTTCAAACACATATTTTGCTATTTGAGGTCAC